GAAATTTAGCTATGGGAAATAAAAAGAAATGTAGAAGTGAAGTAAAATTGGATGTGTAGTTAAAAGAGAGAAAGTTAGATTAGGAGCATAATTGTCGATGAAGTGGGACGAAGTCTCTGTTGATGCTGGTGTGACGATTAACACAATTGGGACTATTTTTCTTTTCCTTGACTATTTCCAAATCCTCAAAAAGGTCAAGTTTGAGATAATCTCTACCTGGGATGTTATGGAGAAGAGAGATGTCATCTGGTACCTTGATTGTGTGATTGTGTGACTTTGCTCCTACCACATCATTCCTCTTGACATTGACGGGTAGTAACTGATTTTTCATACCATCTTTCTATCAGTTAGCCCTAGACTCCAACACAGATCAGAGGTAATGTAAGTCAATAAAACCTCACCAACTACAGGGGGTCATATCAGATGCCCCCAGTTTCATATTTTAATATTACACAATTCAAGAGTCTATTGCATTTACCTGAATAAATAACATGATGATTATTTTTTAAATCCAGATGTCCATCGAATGTTTTTATGTGGCTACACAATGTTTTTTAACAACTTTTTATGTAAGTAGTAAAAAACCAACTTTTTCTTTTTGTATATTCAAATTTTAACTTTCTTGTTTTAATATTGGTATTTTTACTCTCTCTTCTAGTAAACTGATAATGGAATGATACAATTCGAAAAGATCTTCTTTATAATAAAAATTTTAAGCTTTTAATAAGCGCTTTTTTATACCTTAATACACACGAACACACGTGCTTTGTAAAGGCAATTCCTTAAAATTTAATTTTAAAAAATTGTCATAATTTAAAATTGTCTCATTTAAACGAGGACATTTCTGACTAAATTAAGGTTTATATTATTAGACGAGTCTAGTTTTATTTCTTTGATTAATTTATATATTGTGGATTTGCAAACACACGTCACAATAACAATTAAGTTTGTGGTATCAATATTAATATCAATGTTACACAATTATTTATTAGGAAGCTTTCTCATGTTTTTGGTAGCTACTATCTTTGAGCTATACTGAGCTGTTCAAAAGTAATATTTGTATAGGCCACGGACTCAAATCCGTACGGACTCTCTGGTAAGATACATTTGTCATATAGACATTGGCTTTAGACACATTGGTCATATCTATGCTCTTCAAAATATAGCCTAACTTGTCGAAAGCTACCCAAGAAAATTGTACGCCTTTTTATTTCGGCTTTGATTTTCTTTACCGATTTTATTGGTATGCTCAATATATATTTGATTCGATTCGATATTTGATTCGATTCGATTTAATATATGATTGGATTCATAATCGATTTTATTCGATATTTGATTCGATTCGATATTGATTCGATTTGATTTCGATTCGATGATGGATCGATTCGGTAATAGATTTAATTCGATAAACGACTCAATAATCGATTCTATTTAATGATCGATTAGATTCGATTGTATTTTATTTTATTTTGTGATATTTTATTGTATTTTATTATATTTTACTGTATTTTATTGTATATTATCGTATTTTATTGTATTTTATTGTATTTTATTTTACTTTATTATATTTTATTCTACTTTGTTATATTTTATTGTAATTTATTGTACTTTATTGTATTTTATTATATGTTATTGTATTTTATTGTATGTTGTTGCATTTTATTGTATTTATTATATTTAATTGCATTTATTTGTATTTATTTGTATTTTTCTTTATTTTATTCTATATTGTATTTCTATACATTTCTATTCGATAATCGATTTCATTTGGTATTGGATTCGATTAGATTTGATTCGATTTCATTTAATTCGACAATATTCGATTCGATTATTTGTTTATTATTCGATTGTATTTTATTTTAGTTTACAAAATATATAAAAATAAACTTTTAAACAAATTGCTACATTTTTTCTAAGATGTACAGATTCTGTGTAAATAGATTTTTTTTGCGTTTTTACTTCCTTGCGAAGGGGGTTTTAGGGGAAACCGGAGGTAAAAGTAATGCACGTTTTTTTTTTGGTCACAAAATTAATATTCTCGGCAAAATTTAGCTTGTTCGTATAATTTTTAGAGATTCAGTAGCATTTTAGTCTGTAACGACTGGAGTATAATTTTTTTTAATTATAAATGTATGTCTTTTATTTGCACTATACGGCATACAATAAAATTCTTCTTCTTCTTTACGTGCCATCTTTGCGATGAAGATTCATAACTGCTATTCTAACTTCTTACACTACAGCCCGAAAGAGTTCAGTTGAGCTACATCCAAACCATTCTCTAAGGTTTCTTAACCAGGATATTCTTCTTCTACCTATGCTGCGCTTTCCTTAAATCTTTCTCTGCATTATTAGTTTTAGAAATTCATATCTGTCACCACGTGTTATATGACCCAGAAATTGTAGTTTTCGTATTTTGATAGAATCCAGTATCTGCCTGCTGTTCTCTATTCTATTCTTCTTAGTACTTCTTCATTGATTATTCTGTCTGTCCAGGAGATTCTTAGCATTCTTCGATATGTCCACATTTTAAATGCTTTCAATTTATTGAGACATTGTTTATTTAGATTCCATGACTCCACACCATACAAAAGAACTAAGAATACATAACACTTTGTTACTCGTTTTCTAAGATTTAGGCTGAGGTCTCTACAACATAATACTTGTTTCATATTATTGACTGCACCTCTAGCCTCTAAATAGTTGTAATTCTGGACTTTATCGTCTTATTATTTACATCTACATTGATTTATCTAATATTTTTCTTGGATATAACCATGATATAAGGAAACATGGTATGCTCACGCGCATCTATTTTGAACAGCCAATCGCGTTTACGACCAAAATCCGCCATTTTGAAGGCGGCAATTCAAATATGTACAAAATTGATATGAAATATCGTAGTTAAATTAAATAAAATAAAATTATTATTATACATTAATCCAATTAATTCATATTTAAAATGATCTGAACAGACTCTTGCTAAAATAATTTTTAAAAAATCGAAACAAATTACTTTTAAATTCCAATACATTGCAAAGTAAGGTTAAAAAATGCAAAAGTAAACAAAGCAGACGTCACGCGTGTAGAGGTGGTTGATCAAGTATTTTTGTGGATGCTCACTTACACTTACTATGAGTACAGTACCCGTACCATGAACGTATAAATAAAGATCTTTATTTATACGTCCATGACCCGTACTCGTTTATTATAATATATTGGTGTTAGGGATCAGTTCCACAAGTATAAATAAAATACATGTTCCAAAGTAACTGGTACAGGATCAGGTCACCATCCCTACCCGCATGTGACATATTGAAAAGATGGTGGATTTTGGTCGGCGCAGAAATGTGCAAAAACGAGTCCACCTAGTGAGCATACCTTGTTTCCTTATATCATGGATATAACCATAAACTTTATTTTCTTGATGTTAAGTGACAGACCAAATTCTTCACTCGCTGCAACAACCTTACCTACAATTATTTGTAGATCTGTAATATTTTCTGCTATTAGTATTGTAATCATCAGCATATCTAATTTCACGTATGGGTAGGCCATTTATTTGTATGCCTGCTACTTCATCTTCTAATGCTTTTTGAATATTTCCTTTGAGTGTGCATTTAACAGTGACGGAGACAAGATACAGCCCTGTCTAGCACCTCTTTTGATTTTTATTTTATTAGTTATTAAATTTTTTATTCTTATGACAGTTTCTTGTTCATATTACAGATTATTTATTCTTATATCCCGTGTGTCGATGTTCTTTTTTCTCAGTAGTTTTATTAATGAACTATGTTTCACTGTATCTATCACATTTACTGAATATAATGCTTCTCTGGTTTCTTAAGCATTTTTAAATTCGAACTGAGTTTTTTACAATGTCTTGGAATGTTCTTACTTTTTATATATTCTACAATGAATAATCTTTAGGAATACTTTTAGTATGTGGCAAATTAGACTGATGGTACGGTGATCGCAACATTGTCTGGCGTTTTTTTTTTCTCGGTGTATTCACGAATGTTAATAGAATAATATACCTGTTCTGTATAATATGATATAAAATAATTCGACAATAACATGTATATTGCAGTCGGCGACAAGTTGTAACATTTCTGTCGATATTTCGTCTGGTCCTACTGCTTTCCCTGTTTTCATTTCTTTAATTGTGTATTTTACTTCACTTTCTGTTATTTTTGATTCAGTCCCTTTAACGAAATATTCGTTATCTATTCTGTCTCGTTATCTATTTGTCGTTAAACTTTCTCTCGTTTGGTCTTCTAGTTAATTCTTTTATTTTCCTGGTATTCGAATTTGTGGCCGTATTTTGTTTAGTGTTAACTGGTACAATGATTTATTTTTGTCGTTATATACTCTTCGTTTGTTCATCAAGTTTAGTATTTTGTGAGGCATCCATTCTTTTTTCTTTTCTTTGGTTTTGCGTAGATACTTTTTTGAAAGTTCTATTAAGTCAGACTTATTTTTCCCCTTTTTGTTCATGTTGTCTTCATTGCATTAAAAATTGCACAATCAAATTAGTATGTATGTTTGTTAAAAGGTTACGAATGCTGTATTTTTTTGTAATTTTTTGCGAATAATTCTCAGTTCATAGAAAATTAGAAAAAGAGCACAACAAGCAAATTTAACTTATGCTGGCATTTGTTGTTGAATGTAAAATATACTAATGTTATGCTAGTTTATGAATAAATACAATTTGAGTCGTTTATATACCTTGATTTTAACATCTTTGCATTTTAGGATTTTTCTTTGGAGGGATTGTAATGGCAGAATTAGTCAATTTATACTTTAGTGTTGGTGATTTACGTGAAATGATGAAGGGCCTTTTTCTGACATTGACAAACCTCGTATCGATCATAAAATTTTACACAATTTGGAAAAATCAGGATTCACTGCTTAACTTGACCGCAAAAATTAATAGAAAAGAATTTCAGCCAAAATCCGAGAAACAAAAAAAATTTCTCAGAAAATACGTTAAGCTTTCTAAAATGATGTCTATAGGTTTATATGCCGGATGTACAATGACCTGCAGCTTTTGGGGTGTTTATCCCTACACCGATGAAAATGGACCGTTTTTACCAATCGCCGCTTATATTCCTATTAACACAACAGATTCCACAACATTTGGATTTGTCTATGCTTACGAAATTATTGCCACGTTAATTGGAGGATACACTGACTTAAGTTCTGACTGTTTAATCGCAAGTAAGTCAATATTTACTGTGTTCTGCTTTAATTATTTACTTAATTGATTTGATTAAAGTGTATCAATATGTAAGATTGTTTAGGGAATGTCATTAAGGTTAGAAATTGTTGGGTTAATAACTATAACAATTCTAATTTACAAACAAGTAACAAAAAATTAAATTCCATAGTCTGTGCGAAAAAATTTATCAAATGGGCCTAACTTACTGTGGAAACTGCACAAAAAAAGGTACAGTCCTTTAAAATTAAAACATAATAATCAGTTTGTCCAATATCTTGTCAATGTTGGATATTTTCCAATAAAAATGAATGTTTAACCTTTAAAAAATGTTATATTGTTATAAGCTGAAAAGTCCTTTTTCACACTGTTTTTATTAACACATTTAATAAAATGTTAAAGTTTTTTAATATACATTAAAATGATGGCCCAAAGAATCGATAGCGATTTACAAAATACATCTAGAATGACTGTTTAAACACTTACAGTTGTGAAAATAATCCTCTCCGGGATAACCAAAGTGGAATAACAAATTGGTCGATCTGTTTAAAATTTAGCACTGTAATAACTTGTTAACTGCCACAATTTTTAGTGCTATATTACATGTTATTATGCAAAAAATTTAGTTATTAACGTTTATAAATTACTGCAAAAATAAGGGGTTTTTGCAATTATCTCGTTTAATTGTTCATGTACCTTCATTTTAAAACTCTCAACATCAAAAAAGTTTTTATGATCTAAAACTTTTATATACGCCATTTTTCTCTAAATTGTACAAGAAACGCTTTATAGGCAAAAACTATGTTTTTCACAGTTTAGGATTGTCATTAACTATCCTTCATATAAAATCTGACATCGCGTTGTTAAGGGGTATACTGGCATTAAAAACCACGCCTGTCAGATGGGTTGGTGAGTGTTCGCAGTATTACAACCGCTTAAATCAACTTGATTGCGGCTTGCGACTTGTGGTACCGCATCTGACAGGAATTATATTCCCCAGCCACGGGCCACTAATGACACTTATGCTGACCTGTGTCATGTGCTCAGTTGATCTGCGGGTACTTATTTGGCTAAGCCTTATTCGTACTTGTCCTGCATATCTACAGAAACTTCCTATCAGCCATTGGGATGCCCAGTTTGTCTTCCGCAGAGTACTGAAGGGCCCCTACTTAGTTCAGAGTCCCCACAAGTTTTTGTTTTCCTCACATATCAGTGTCTGACATATCGGACTCAGTTTTCGGGTCACCTGGTAAAATCAGTTCAATTGTTTCACGGCAAAATGACCCTGCTTTGACCCTTTTCCCTGTACACGTTTTCTTGCTGATTAAAATGATTAATAGTGGGTCAGAAGTTAGAAGAAGTCTGTTGAATATATCTAGGTTGCATTCCTCCCTCTCGCGATATAATCGATAATGCTTATTCTTAGTTTATGCTGTCCTCTTCCGTAACTGACCTGTAGGTAATAAGGCATTTTCGATTATTTCTGCACCGTGAACTAATATTTTATGCATGGTCGGTGTCATAGGGTGCCATCCATACAAATCGACATACAGTCTCGCTGTTGCTTTGGAATAATCATCAAATTGTTGCACGTCAATTTTATGACCGCTTGAAATGGTTTCTAATATAATCTTCAATATATATATATATATATATATATATATATATATATTAATTTAAAATTAACTTTTGTTATATCGGCAGCAGTTGAGGATTTTCAAAAAATCTTCGGCTAGTATTGCCGTCATTAGTGTATCCAAAATTGCTTTTGACATGTCGATTAACAATCCAGTTTCTTTTCTAAATCCTTCCTGAATATATTTTTTTTTGTGAGCACTTCTATCTTCTTTTCTTCTTCAGTTTTTTTTGTCCATACCATTTTTATTGGTAATTTTTATGCAAACGTAAAACTCTTTCAAGCATTCGAATTCTGTCATGTAATACCGAGAGACCAAATTCAATAGCCGTAGAACTCGTACTTAATTTTTTATTCAGATTGTTAAAGTCTTTAGATGTCGCTCCTCATATGTTAACACCGACTTGTAGATTTGTATTAGTTGCAGCATTAGAAACCTTGCCATCAATCATGGTCATCTTAAAAACATTATCAAACATGAATGTTTCTTTCACAAAGCATAAATCGTATAGGTCTACAATATCCAGGCGAGGAGTGTATTGGGTTTTTGCCAAATTACTTTTTTACCTTCTTTGCCACATACTATTCGAAGTGAAACAAAAGAAGATAGGAATATATGTGCACCCGAAGCAGCGTCATCGTCAAATTTCTGTTTGTATCTGCCTTGTTGAAATCCGTCACAACCCCATTTACAAATATTTCTTAAGAATTCCTTTCATTGTTATTTTTAGAGAACAAAAGATTTCTTCTAACCCCATCGATAAGCGGTAAACAGTATTATCTATTAAACTTTGTAAACTGCTTTCTGCGCAATTACTTGAAACCTTTATACAATCCGTTGCCGGTAGGATTTTTTTTTCCTTTAACAGTAAGTCATAGGATGGATAAAAAGATTTATTTGTATTTCTAATGATTTCATACTGTCGCTTGGTTAAATCAGCTTCAACAAACATTGCTAGGGCTTGCAACGGTGTAAGAGCAGTAATGTCTTCTTTATCTAATTTCCTGAACGCATCTCTATATTTATCTGCCCGAGTTGGAGAGTTTGTAATCTCTTTTAATATTTTTGAAGCATTTCTTTTCCTCGAGCCTGTAATGTTGATTGGGCTGCATGAACGATAACTTCTCCATCAAGCAAAGAACGTATTTCTTCTGTTTTTCTTCTTTTCGTTCTTTCACTGGAGTCATTAAATGATTTAGATGGTCGAACCTGTATTTGGTGGACCTGGACGAGATGGTGGGCCTTTTCTCTTTCATGACCATTTTAAAATGTCGAAATCTTTCGCTTGAAACTGGTTAAATTGTCAGATGTGTCACCATAACAGGCCAGTAAGTGATTTTCTAAATATTTCAGTTTATCATCTAAATTAAGCAAATCCTGAAGCTTCATCAAAAGTAGCTAAAACAAAGAAAATCGTAACTTGTTACAGTTAATACAATTAAGTACTTTAATTTTTTTGACGTCATCAATATAACAAAATAAACAAAAACCCCTGTATTTCGATCATCCGCAGCTATCCGCAGCTAAATCGTATGGCGTTAATTAGCAAAATATATGCAATATACTGAAAATAAACAACATTGCTGGATCTGGGGCGATAATATAACTTAATGTCTTATAAACATAAAAATTAAACAGAAATTTCACTACAAAACAGCTTGCCTTTGATTTTGTAAAAATAATATAAGATAACAGTAAACATTCTTTACATATTTCAAGAAATATGCATTCTTACCTGAATTATTCGATTTCATCACAATCACTTTAAAAAATAAGCTGAATATCACAAAATATCAATATTGTTGAAAAGTATAGGTATTACTGGGCGTAAACAACAAAACGTTATTGAAAAGCTACCTGCCGCGTGCCTGCGTCTGCGCACGCGCATGATGAACATTTTTAGTACAGTGTCCCAACTATAACAGTAAATGACTCAAATATAGCATACTTGAACTACTTCAAAAGATCTAAAACATACATTGCAATACACATACATATTATTATTGTAAACTAATGTATACACACTAAGTATTTTAACAGTTATTAACATTAATATAAATACGCTAATAACCCTGCGTGGTTGATGCGTTATTAAAATAAAAAAAAGTTATTAACATTTACAAATTACTGCATTTTTTTGTATTTTAAGCAATTATCTCAATAATGAAAATCTCAAAAAATTTAAAATAATTAAATCTGTACATAATACCTAAATTGTAGAGTAATGATAAAAATTCAATGTTTAAAAGCTATAATTAACAAAGGTTACACAGCTAACTACAGCATTTTTGAAATAGACAGAAAAATTTGCCAAATCTGGTTAAAACTTAAGGGTGAAAAAATTTCAATAATATTATGTTGAAGTAATTCAACAATATTGATTTAATTAAAACTTACAAATATTTGGTTTAGTTTAGAGGATTATAGGTTCCATATTTTGTATCCTTCATATGGGGTTTAATTTGTAAGCGTACTTTTTGTATTATTTCGTGTCATTTATAAATTGTTAAAAACAACATATTTTTTTTAATTCTTTGTATATTTTTTATTAAGATGATACCAAGCGACACCGTCATATTGCTGTGCTCTTCAAGTATTATATCTGCTTTCTTATTATCTGCATTTTTCTCCGCATGAGACTCCCCTATCTTAAATTGAATTCACTTTAGCTACCCTCCTTTTGCTTTATAATTTTTGAGCTTTATTAATACTTATTGAAAATCAGAACTGGAATGATATAATAAAGAGAAAATTGTCTATCATATGAGCGAATTAGATGTTGTATATGGGGATACAAGAGTTCATTTTGATGGAAATTTAAAAAAAAAACAGATTTTAAACTCTGTTTACGTTTTAATCAAAATAGCTTACTATTAAATTACACGAGTTGTTTTTGGATTTTGAATATTTTTTAGTTTGAGGGGTACTGGATTGTTGTAGTTACTTTTATTATTATGTGTTCAATAATTTAGTTAATTATTTTGTCGTAAAACCACTTTATCAACATTCTAACCTCTAACTTATTCGCCGATTTTCTGAAACAAGATACTTATCTTGTGAAGTAGTTCTTTTATATTTACATATTAAGTGCACTAGCTTAACATACAGCAGTACATATTTCCTTTCTTATTCCAGTTGCTGGATTGTCTCAATATTTACATGCCTATGGAATAGATATCATTGTAACATATATATATGAATCATATTTTTTAGCATTTTTCTGAAGTTACTGGGCTTTTATAGCATCTTCTTTTATACCCTTCATGACTTTTTAATTTTTTATGAAGAATCAAGCCGTGATGTAAAAGCTCAAGTCTTTTCTAAAAAACCCGTGATGTAATTAGGCTTTGGAACCTTGCTAATCACAATAGAAGAAAATGCACGATATTTCACTAAAACTGACTAACGACAAACAAGTAAGTTGCACTGTCAAACGAATTTTTGGCTATTGGTAATCGCTATATTCCTGTCGATTAAGGAATCAATACATTTTGTTTTGAATAATTTTTAACATTTCAACGTCTCAACGAAGAACTAGCTCATTAATATCGTGTTATCGAATATTACTCTTAACCACAAAAATTACAATTGGTTTTGTGAACAAACAATTTTAGCAGTAAAGAACAAGGACATAGATGACTTAAACTTAACTACTTAACGAAACTCTCTAAGTTGTCCTAGGTCTCTCTCTATAAGTTGCTCTGTCTCTCGATGAATATACAAACAAAAAAATTGTCAGCCACTTGAAAATACAATTTTCCAGCTCTTATAAGCCAATATACCACAAAACTACATAAAGTCTCGTTTTCAGCGAGGATTTTTAGAAAGTTTGGACTGCGGCAAAGCCAGAGGTTATTGTAGAAGGACTAGATGCTAGGAAAAATAAAAGCGGGTTAATTGTATTACCCAACAACGTAAGCGGCACAGATTTGAATATTTAACAAAATAACGCACAAAGTAGCATTATACGACTACTAACTCTGTATAAGTAGTAAATAAATACCATTTTCTAGGACAAAAAACATTTTTTAAGTGTAAACGTAATTAAAATAAGCTATGCGGGAGAACAGTAAATAAATCTAAGTTTAATAAACAAATTTGATTGTGTGGAATTTGTGCAGTAAGTTGTTCTCTGAAATCAAAATACGATGTGATTTAATATAACAGGGTGTGTCAGGTAAAAGATATTTGGCAATATTTAATGAGAATATCTTTTAACGATACAGGTGTCTATCACTTCAACCCCTACCTTTCAGTACCTACCACAAACAATCAAACAAACCTGTTATTTAAAATAGTAAATATACGACGTATTTTTATACTGTAGCATGTGTAAATTTCTTGTAACTATCGAATATTTAAAGTATAAAATTTATCTGGTACCTTTCCTGTTTATGTATAAAATTTCTCTTAAAAGTTGTTTACAAAAATATGTTGCGACGCATTCAAGAGAACTGTGTAATAAAATAATTCATATATTACGTCTTAGTTCTACAATTTTAAAAGCAAGCAAAGATTTAAAGTCAAACGCTCTGTTGAAAAGAATTTTGGTTGGTCTGTTGCGAAGACCGGTAGATGGGAAGAGGGTCAAAGAGGAATGCCGGTACAAGGCCTCAGGTCAAAGTAAATTCAGGTTTGGGAGAATCTTTGAATAGAAAAGACGCAGGCGGGTGTCGACATTAAGAACCGGCAAATTTGTTCTGAAAAAGATATTTATACTCAACGTAATGTGTCAGTTCTGATAAGAGTAATCACCGTTTTTGTTTTATGTCGTCTCTCGCCTAAAAGAAAACCACATTCTGACGAAAAACAAATATTAAATAATCTTACAAAACTGCAGTCGCCGATTATTGTATTACGGAGATAAAAAATTCCTTTCTCAACTACAACTACGCTTCTCCTTTAGACAAAGTAGTGTTAATATAAGTAAAAGTTAAAATGTAATATAAATTTTATAGAAGTTTACACCCCAACACCAGAAAAAGATAAAGAGGAAATCGATAAATTGTATAATACTTTAAAAAAGGTGATAAGAGCAACGAAGAATCAATACATCCCTGTCATAATAAAAGATTTTAAAGCTAAAGTAGGGTAAGGTAGATTTGGAAAATGTATCGGAAACTATGAACGTTGTTTCATAAACAAGAGTTGCGATGAATTAGTTCACTTTTGCCCGAGTGAACATTTCTGCGTTAAATTCAGCTTCTATCGGAGATTGTATATCATTCAAATAATGCAAACCTCAAACTTGATTCAATCACAACAAACCAAAACTTGTTGAAACTTGATTTTGTAACTTTACTAAATATTTTTTAGCAATTACTATTCACTTTCTTAAAATAATATAAAATATATGTCGTAGGTTTAATAATGGTTGTATGTGGACAACTAAATATCCTAAACGATTCCTTAGTAAATATTACCAAAATGGCTAATCAAGAATTAAAGGAAATGAGATGCTGTAACTTTCGACATATGCATAAAAAGCAAGAACTTGTAAACCAAAAGTTGAAGGAATGTGTCGATCATCATAAAGCTATTTTGGAGTAAGTATAAAATATTAAGTTATAATATTATTAAAAAGTATAGGATAAAAATATTGATCTCTAGTGAAATTCACACTAAGAGTGCAGTACGGTTATGGTAGGAATGCACATTGCCGGATTTCACACCATGTGCTTGACAACACAAGCGGGTCCAAGTAATGGTCACGTAGAGAACCATACAAAGATCTTCACTTCGGAGCTCTATTCCAAGAAAAATTACCTTATTTAATTTTAATTTATGATGCAAATTAGAATGAAACAGAGAGACATTAGATATTTAATGTAAAATACATATATTTACAAATAATTGTCTCAGTCAAAAGTAGTCAAATAAGAAACATAATTTTAATAAAAAAGATTTTCGCGAGAATATTATTTTAAAACTGTACACTTTATTAAACTAACGAATCTATTTTATATGCATTTTTTGATAGCTATACAAAATGAAACCTCCTGGAACAGCATCTATCGATTATGGAAAATTTCGCTAGGTAATTGTTAAATAAAAGTTCAATTGTTTTTTAGTTATTGCCGTTAGAAGTGGCCATCTTCATGTTTTAGACAGTTGTAATATACAAATGTTTGACTTAGAGTGAAACAGTTTACACGTTCGTATTTCAATAGTTCATGAGCTATCGAATAAACTTTCGAATTCGCTTTCGCTTCTCTCTCCTATCATCTTGCAGGTTGACCACGGTCCACATCATAGTTTTCGTTTTCTCGACGACAAAATTGTGCCAATTTTGCTTTGTTACACGTGCGTATTCGTTATCGATTCAGGCATATCTCTTCGTTTTTAAAGGTCATATTATGGGTAAATATCGCTTGGTTGCACACAATTTCTATAGGATTTTATATGCAATGTTACGAAGAAATCAAGTTCAACATAAATTTACTTCAAGAGAAATTCATAAGGGACCTCTACCAGATATGACTGGATAAGAATTTACAGGATTTCGGTTTCAGAAACGTCAAAGAAACGTACGAGCATGTCAAACACAGCATAAAAAAGTCGGCATTAGAAACTTTGTGGAAACTTGAGAAAAGAAATACCCAACACAAAGTAGAAATAAACAAAGAACCAAAAAATGTATTGAGGAGAAGCAATTATTATATATAAAAAATATGAGCACCCAATCCCCAGAAGACACACAGAAGTACAAAAAAAAAATCAGAGAAGTAAAACGAAGAAGGGCAAAAGAAAAGAATGAAGAATGGGAAGAAACATGTTCCCAAATTAAACAATACATAGGAGGAACAAGGAATTCGGAATCCTAGAAAATACTGAAATCTTTAAGGAAAAATACCAACGAAAAGGTCCAAATCCAATACATATCAGAAAAAGAGTGGGAAGACTACTATAAAGGACTACTCACAAAAAAACACCCAGATTTCATAGAGACAGACACAGAACATAAACAACAACAAAATCAGAATTAAGAATAGATTGAGATAACATTAATCGAAGTAAAGAATGCCATAAAGACTTTAAAGAACAAAAAATCAGGGGGACCAGGAGAAATCGTTAATGAACTAATCAAGTATGGAACGGACAAACTACACAGAATTATACACGAAATGTTCAGTAACACTATAAACCTGAACGAAATACCAGATGAATGGTCCAAAGCATATATAACTTCGATACATAAAAAGGGAGATAAGAAGAAATGCGGGAACTACAGAGGCATCAGTGTCATAGCATGTATGGGCAGGTTACATGGTAAAATACTGAAAGAAAAACTGAAGAAATCTATCTCAAATAAAATCGTAGAAGATCAGGCGGGGTTCACGGCAGGAAGATCTTGCATAGACCACATATGTACACTCCAACAATTAATTAAAAAAACAATGCCAAAAAAATAGACCAGTACACAAAACAACTATGGAACATGATGAAGGAAATTGGAATAACTCAGAGGTTAATAGAAGCCGTAAAAAACCTTTACAACAACAACCAGGTAAGAGTTAAAACTGGCAATAAATACTCCAACGAATTTAAGATCACAAAAGGCTTATTACAGGAATGCTCTAGATCTCCGACACTGCTCAAGATATTCGTCAAACAAATATTAAAACCATCGAAAAGGAAATGTGAAGGGATGAGAATACCAATCCGAGACAACTTCTTGTACCTTGTACACATTAAGCATTGCAGATGACCAAGTGATAACGGCTCAAGGTGAAGAAGATCTGTGCTATATGCTCCGAAAATTAGAAAAGGAATACACAAAAAATGGACTGAAAATAAACCTAGAAAACATTGAATATTTAACAACAGAACAATAACCAGTGAGAAACTTGGAAATGGACGATGATAGGGAAATTAACAGCACTGAAAAATTCAAATACTTAGGATTCATACTCTCAAAAAATGGAACCACCGAGCAAGAAATAACCAGCAGATTAGCACAGACAAGAACATGTATTAAACAAATAAACGGGGTTCTGTGTGATAGACAGATTACCAGAAATACAAAGAAGAGAATTTATAACACCTTGGTAAGCAGTATAATGACCTATGGAGCAGAGAATTGTGTGATAAATAAACGAAACAGGTCCAAAATCACAGCAACTGAAATGGAGTTCATCAGAAGAAGCTGCAGAGTGACAAAAATAGATCGCATCAGAAATGAGGAGATAAAACAAAGAATGGCAGTAGAATAAAACCTACTCAGTTGCATCGAAGAAAAACGTTTAATTTGGTATGGACATCTGAGAAGAAAAGATCATACAAGGTGGATAGCACGCACAGATTTCGGATTGGAGCGCAATAGGAAGGAGGAAAAGAGGTAAATCCCGAAGATCATGGAGGTTTCAAGTGGACGAGGCCATGGAAAGACGAGACCTTAGAGATAAAGAATGGAAGAACAGAAAGGACTGGAGACATATGTTAAAAGAAGGAAGGCGGCGACAGCTGTAAAAATCCATATATAGATAGATACACGTAGAAAGCCTTAAAATAGAAACATTATGTTGTGTAATAATTATATTCACCAAGATTATGTTTAAAGTATTAATATTTAAAAGCATGCAATGCTTCTACTAACTAGGATTATAAATAGCACTCCTCAAAAAATGTTTCTTTCCACTAGCCATTTCTGGATTGCAGCTTTATTTCAGAAATTGTAGGGGAATCTGTCTTTACGGGTGTACTACTTCATTACAAGGATATTCCTGCGACCAATATTTGATAAATTTGCTAATAATGTCTGTTTAAATCATGACTCAAATTATATGACATTTATTTATTCGTCCCATTATTTTTCTTTGCGATAAAATCGCGCTGTGTTCAAAGAAGAAAAACTATTGAAAAATCTGCATGCAATAAATAAACTCGTGGACCTCGTTTGGTAGGTGCTTTAAAACAGTATTTAAAACTTTAAGAAAAGCATCGCAACGATTATGTTATTTAAAGTTAATACTAACTACATATAAATAACACTATCCATATATTTAGTGGCTTCAAACATGTAAATCCAGATAGCACCAATGAGGGAATAGTTATTCCGAAAATTTTCTGTGATATAGTTTGATACGGTTTTTATATTAATATTATCATTATCATGCAACCTCTTTTGTCCACAGCTGAACATAGGTCTCTCCTATTTTTCGCCACTCTTTGCGGTTCTGTGCTTCTTGTTGTCATTTCTTGGATTATTGTTTAATGTCGTCCATTCAGTGTGTTGGTGGTAGTCCTCTGCTGCGTTTGTCTTCTCTTAGATGCCAGTTAATTAGTTTTCTGGTCCATCTTGAGTCTTTTAGTCTCGCTACATGACCTGTTTAATTCCATTTCAGCTTGGCTATACGTTTGACGACGTCAGTGATACCTGTTCTTTTCCTTAGATCTTGGTTCCTTATTTTGTCTTTTTCCATGCGCTTTTGTGCCACTCGCATTTTTAGTTCTGTTTTTTTGTGTGAGAGTTTCTGCTCCGTATGTTATAATAGCAAGAACGCATTGGTCAAATGTCTTCCGTTTCAAGCAAGTGTGGTTCGTCGTTGAAATTCACAGGTCTGATTAACCTTGCTTATTCTGATTTCATGACCGAGATATATGTACTTTTCTGTCAATTCTACCACTTGATTTTGGATGGTTATGTGTCCATTAGGAACCAAATTTGTCATAAATTTGGTCTTACTGACATATATTTTTAAACCTATTGTTGAAGATACGTTTTCTAATTCTTGTAACATTTGTTGTGCTTCACGCAGACCTTCGGTAATAAGTACTATATCGTCCGCAAGACGCAGATGATTGAGCATTCTCCCGTCTATTTTTAGTTCTCTATTTTCCCACCTTCACATTTTAAGGGCGTGTTCGAGGACCGTAATAAATAATTTAGGTGAGAGAGTGTCGCCCTGTCTCACACCCCGCTTTACATAAATTTTTTTGGTAATATCATGTAGTTTTACACGCAATGTGGCGTTTTGGTACAATGTTTGTACTAACTTTGTAAGCAGTTAGTCTATTATACAATTGTTTAGAGCAGTTATATTGCTGTTTAATTCCACGGTATCGAAGGCTTTGTAAAAGTGTACAAAGATAATTTATATTCTATCAATTTTTTATTTAGGTTTTTACTGTTTGTAGGTGATCGTTTATTCCGAATTTTGAGAGGAAACCAGCTTGTTCTCGGGCTGGTAGAAATCTAACTTTTTTTCTAGTCTTGTAATTATTCGCGTAAACATTTTATAGATGTGCTTCTTATGTAGTAAAACTCTTACCGCATTCTTCCATGATTCCGGTATGCAACAATCTGTTAGACAAAGGTTAAACCAAATTTTTATTTGGTTAAGAAGGGCACGTCCATCCATCTTTATAGCTTCTATTACGACTCCATCTTCTCTTGGTGTTTTGAAGTTTTTTATATTTTTATTACGTCTTGGGTTTCGCTTAGTGTAATCTCTGGCATGAACTCCGAACCCTGGTTGATGATTTTGCATGATGCGACGGCTTCCAAGTTCATTTGGTCTTCTCTTTGACTTGTGTATAGTTCTTG